CCTGCTCCAACAACCATTTCGGTTGCCATTTTCTGTACTTCTTCCAGCTCTATAATATCCTTGCTTGAGACAGGCTGGCCAAAGCTGAGCATCAGGCACATTATTATTATTATTATTATTATTATTATTTATATGCCGCCCTATACCGGGAGGTCTCAGGGCAATTCATGCCCTCCAGTTGCTGTTGAACTCCAATTCCCATCAGTCCCAAAAGCCAGAGTTCAAGGGCAGTGGGCAGGAGAGCGCATCCTGTTTCACCACCTGAGGCAAAATGGGAAGGGGCTGCCCTGCCAATCCCTCCTTTACCTGGGTGATGTGGCAGTGACTGCAAAGCAATGATGGCTAATTCTGGTGAGATCTCATGGGGCAAATGAGTGCTCACACAGCTCTCGGTGGAAGGTGCCACTCCTGATGTTCTGCCACCCAAGGCAGCTGCTTTGGCCCACCGCATGGGCAGGCCGGCCCTGGCATTGAGAGTTGGAGCCCACTAGTATCTGGGGCTTCAGGTTGGGGAAGACTGCTGTACACCACGATTCAAATGTGGCCACACAACAGACTATTGTAGCCAGACTGACTTTGGCTTAACATGACAAGGACTTCCTCATACTTTCATGTCTTGTTCTGTTCATCCATTTAGTCACCAACCCAATTTCAAGGGCCTCTGGAAAGCACCTGCTGGTATCTTTCAGCTGAAGGTTGACCCCTATTTTGGCAGTGACAACTCACAACAGAAGGGAGCATTTGTTTATATGGCTGCAGAATACCTCCGGGAATCCACTGGTTGAATTTATATCCTAAACTTCATTGGGTAGTGATCCTAGAGTGAGTTACAGTAAAACCAAAATGCCACTGTTAAAACAACAAATACAAATGTAAAAATTAAAAGCATGCAACACCCAGTCTGCCCTGTGGTGGAATTTCCCAATATTATTATTATTATTATTATTAACGTTAAGAGAATGAGCAAAGAGTCAGAACATACTTACGCCTGTACTGACGAGCGACAGCATGATCCTTTCATTCAAGGCTAAAGTCTCCCCTTGCTTCATCTTGATCCTCTTCTTATCCAAGCATTTCATTGCATACCTGAAAATTGTAACTTGTTGAGAAAGGGGCTTTAACAGAGCATTCAATTTTCATCACTTTCAACTGGTAGTTTGAAGGCAGAAAAGTAGGTAAACTGGGAGTTCAGGAGAGGTTCAGGGAATGCTGCCATAGGCAAGGTCCACCTTTCTGGTCCCTCAAGAAGAGATGCTGCTCCACTGAGTTACAATTCCTCTGGTTCAATTATCCCACCTCTATTGCTTGTGAGTTTTGGTTTATAAGTCACTCTACAGTAGCCTTCCCCAATCTGGTGTAATTCTCATCACCTAAGGGATGCTTTCTCAAGAGGCCATTGTTCTCGCCCAACAACAGTCTGGAAAACGGAAATGCATTTTGCAAGAGGTGATCCAGCCCCTTTGGAAAGGGACCAGAGCCCATAGCAAAATCCAGACTGCCTAAGCAGCAAGGACAGTTTGGGGTGGGGGTACCTGCTCAGACAAAACTGGACATTCACATATAGATATGCTGCACCCATACCCTGGGTTAAGGGTGAAAACAGCATTCACTGGCACAATTTAGAAGGAAATTGTTTAGATGAATAAAGCAGTGGATAAAAGCATGTTAACTGTACCTCAGTTAAAATGTGATAAGCCCACTGGGAGCCAATGAAGCTTCAATGGGTCATCACTCCCCACTCCTCAGACACACCTTGCTGCTGGCTTTTTCAGGTGGAAAGGGCATCCCACTTCCCAGCCAAAGTGGAGAACCACAGCAATTAAACACACAGCACTGCAATGCCCCTCACGTTGATTGTTCTGTTACTTGGGGATTTTATATGGATGCATTACAAATACAAACAAAGCTACTCACATCTTCCCTGTGTCTGCTTTCCGGCAGCCATAAACTTCTCCGAAGCCCCCTCGCCCGATGATCCGGTGTACACTGAAGTCATTCATGGTCAGCTGGGGATGGAAGAGGTGGAAATGAACATTTGCTTGTGCTGACCAGCACACATGCCTCCTTTCAAGCACCCACCTGCCTCCAAAAACAACTCAGGCTAATGTGTCACAACGAACTGGCTGCCTCCTTTTGCTTTTCAGGGATTTGGTGCAATTTAAGGATGAAGCTACAAACATGAGTCTGACCAAACTGCGGGAGACAGTGGAAGACAGAAGTGCCTGGCGTGCTCTGGTCCATGGGGTCACGAAGAGTCGGACACGACTAAACGACTAAACAACAACAACAAGGATGAAATGGAATCCTATTCCTTGCAAAGCAGTGGTGCACTCTGGAAATCAGGGAATCAATAGGGGACACATGAAAGGAGACAATGCCCAAATTATAAGGAATTGAAGGCAGAAGAGATTTTGTGGGTTTCAGGGAAATGTGAGGGCACTACTGAGGAATGTTCATTTAAACTAGGGGCCTGCAGAATAAATGCTCCAAATGAAACCTTGAGACAAAGTCAGCTAATTAGAGCTTGGTGCTAATAGCACTAAGGTTTGATCCTCGTGTGGGATAGCTGCATATTCCTGCATTGAAGGGGGTTGGACTGGATGATCCTCAGGGTCCCTTCCAACTCTACGATTCTGATTCTATGAAATAAGTCCAAAGCAGAGCTTAAATCAAACTGTCAAGGATAGTCTCAAAATCTCAGAATGCTTTCATTGCGCACTTGAAGCAACAGGCTGCCTCTGAGCATGTGCCAAGTGCCTTTCTTCACCATGGAGAAACCACATCATGCAGAACCCAGAATGCCAACCTTTGTACTGGGCCTTGCGCCAGCAGGACCCCCAGACTCATCTATAAAGAAATACAGGTGGCCTTTTCGGGACGAAGGGTGGAACATAAATTCAGTCAATCAAAGTTAGAAAGCAAACTGTGAAGGCAATGTTCTAAAAGCAAAAACAGAAAAGCTGCTTTTGCTAAGAACACCCAATCTCAGTGTTGTTAAGTAAACAGCAGAGTGAATGCTGACCATCCACATCTGGGATTTGGGAGGGGGGCTTCCCAGAGGTGGGGGGCGGGGCAGGGACAGGGGAAGATTGTTGTTGCTGCTAGCCTGAAGCTGGGTGGAGAAAGATCGTCTGCTTATTCATGGGGGCACTCACTCTTGAAATAAATTAGGCTTCCTTCCTTTTGAGAAAAAAGTTGACATTGCAATGCCTTCCTCTACTCAATTTTCTATATCCCCCACTCAGTCACTACAGGTGTATGTGTTTCATCACGGGGCTGTTATCTACTAACATACTGTAAACATAAAACAAAAATGTGTTCCTGCTCAAGACAAGTGCCTTTGTCTTGCTCATATCAAAATACATATAAGCCCAGTGTTCTCTGAAAGAATTTCACCAATTGCTTGGAGGTCCCCCAGAAACTAGGCAGTGGTCCAGATCCACCTCATCCCTGCCCCTATTTTTAGAAAATGCACCCACCCACCCCTGCAATTACTTACATGAATGTTTAGCTCTACATTTTTCCACTGACAAAATCTAGTAAACTTATCACTGCAAAAGAGAAGAAAAGAAAGAAAAAAGAATGTGCATTACGGTGATGAAAACTGTGCACGTGATGATTTATGAAAAGTAAAAACTATATTTAAAATTTTTAAAGCTCTGTTGAAGAGCAAACCTTCAGTGAGCAGATGTTAATTAAAGACAGTTCTATAGCAATACATGGTTTACGATGCTTCTGACAGCATTCCAGTAAAAATGCCTCCATATTTCTTATTTCTGTAAGACTCAATCGTAATTTTTTTTATTTAAAAAATCTCCAATCATATCCCGAGAAAAGTAATTAATCTCTGCATTTTAGAGCTCTATAAAATAATTAAGGAATCACATAGGTGTCACTATCATTTTTTAAAAAAATGATATTTATTAAGGTTTCAATAAAAGGTTAAACAGAAAAACACAAACAAAAAATACACAATTCAAAAATGCACAATACATAATCCAAAAAAGAAAGAAGAAAAAAAGAAGAAGAAAAAATACAAGAAAAAGAGAACAATTAAAAACAATATCACCTTTTCATTTCCATCTTTAAATTTACTTATTTTCTGGACCTCCTCATACCTCCCTCTTTTGTATTCCAATTCAAATTGTTTGTCCAGCAATTTCTTTCCCTCTTTTTTAATCCCAATCTTTAATCTTAATATAATATAACATTAAAATTTTGCCTCTTAAAAGCCAAATTTCCATTTCCTTAAATTTCTTTAATCCTAATCCTTAATCTTAGTCTATCTATAACCACATAGGTGTCACTATCATATGCTGCCAGGGAATTTTGTTTTTTTTCTAAAAGTTAAATGACTGTTTATTTCCAAAGTAGATCCCTGAAAGATCACATTGTATAATGATCTTTGTTCTCATATATAATTTAGTGATTTCATCTGCTACATTTGGGAGTAAAATCTCTGAGGTGCAAGTCCTTTTGTTAAAGCAAACAGAATTAAGAACAAAGGAAAGGATCTTTTAGCATCTAACTTCCAGCACACCAAGGGCCAGTACTCAGAAGCTCATTTTGCAAGACCTTAGGTCTAATCCAGTGATGGCCAAACTTGGCCCTCCAGCTGTTTTGGGACTACAATTCCCATTACCCCTGACCACTGGTCCTGTTAGCTAGGGATGATGGGAGTTGTAGTCCCAAAACAGCTGGAGGGCCAAGTTTGGCCATCACTGGAATCTATCAACACAGCTCAAGTTCAACAAAATTGTCTCAGCTGGCAACCAGAACCAGGCATGTGGTGTGCTGTTCAGCAGCAGCACCTGCCTGTTGGAACTCTTTCTTAGATAGCTCTGCCAAGCCATTTGCTCACCAAAGCTTTCCCTAACTAGGCATGTCCCTGCTGCTTTCCTGTTTATTAAAAACAGTAAAACTCCAATGAGAACATTTTCATACTACTTCTTATGGCAGTTGTTTTGCAGGGGCTGAGCTGGGTTTGCTGCACTGCAAAGCATTTTGTAATGCGGCTCAGCTCTTCTGCAAGATTTGCAGCTCTTTTTATTTATTAATAAAAATAGAAAATGAAAATAAAGCAACTTAATTAACCAAGTAGATAAAATCAGCTGTAAATCTTGCAGAAGAGCTGAGCCACATTATAAAATGCTTGCTGAGTGAAAATCCAGCTCAGCTCCTGCAAAGCGTATCTAATTGCCAAGCACAGCAGAGTGAAGAACACCTTCCATGATCAGAGGAAACATCAAGAGAGTAGACTTTGAAGCTGGATGGAAGGAAGATAGCTGCCTTCTGCTTAGACTAGAAGAATGGGCAGGTCCATGTACAAGGCACAGACTCTTAAAGGCACAGACTCATTACCATTCTAGCACATTCAATGCACCTGGATGCAGTTTGCAAAATGGCTTGTGTCTGCTCCTTCCTACTAGCCATCCCAATGCCAATCCTTCAGCAACTGGCCATGTGACAAACATGCAATCAGATTCATACCTTTCTAGAAACATTTGGAAGGTTTTTCCTCTGAGGCTGTCACAAATTTCTTCTATGTAGGGCTAGAGGGGGAAACAAACATTTATTGTATTTGAGGCAGTGGCCTTTACTTGTAATAATACTTGCAAAGTGCCTAATGAAACATTTAAAAATCCCTAACAGGAGTGAAAAAGCTTCAATAAACTAAGCAGCAGAAACAAGAAAAAGGTGGTAACAAAATTCAGCAGAAGGCATCATCTGCAAATAAAGTCCCTAAAGCAAAAACCTTCCTAAGGATGTAAGAGCCCAGCTGCCAGATAAGGCCAATGGGGGCCCCTCTAGTCCAGCCTGTCCTAGAATCATAGAATCATAGAGGTGGAAGAGACCACAAGGGCCATCGAGTCCAACCCCCTGTCAAGCAGGAAACACCATCAGAGCACTCCTGACATATGGTTGTCAAGCCTCTGCTTAAAGACCTCCAAAGAAGGAGACTCCACCACACTCCTTGGCAGCAAATTCCACTGTCGAACAGCTCTTACTGTCAGGAAGTTCTTCCTAATGTTTAGGTGGAATCTTCTTTCTTGTAGTTTGGATCTGTGTCCGCTTCTCTGGAGCAGCAGAAAACAACCTTTCTCCCTCCTCTATGTGACATCCTTTTATATATTTGAACATGGCTATCATATCACCCCTTAACCTCCTCTTCTCCAGGCTAAACATGCCCAGCTCCCTTAGCCGTTCCTCATAAGGCATTGTTTCCAGGCCTTTGACCATTTTGGTTGCCCTCCTCTGGACACGTTCCAGTTTGTCAGTGTCCTTCTTGAACTGTGGTGCCCAGAACTGGACACAGTACTCCAGGTGAGGTCTGACCAGAGCAGAATACAGTGGCACTATTACTTCCCTTGATCTAGATGCTATACTCCTATTGATGCGGCCCAGAATTGCATTGGCTTTTTAGCTGCCGCGTCACACTGTTGGCTCATGTCAAGTTTGTGGTCAACCAAGACTCCTAGATCCTTTTCACATGTACTGCTCTCAAGCCAGGTGTCACCCATCTTGTATTTGTGCCTCTCATTTTTTTTGCCCAAGTGCAATACTTTACATTTCTCCCTGTTAAAATTCATCTTGTTTGTTTTGGCCCAGTTCTCTAATCTGTCAAGGTCGTTTTGAAGTGTGATCCTGTCCTCTGGGGTGTTAGCCACCCCTCCCAGTTTGGTGTCATCTGCAAATTTGATCAGGATGCCCTTGAGTCCATCATCCAAGTCGTTGATAAAGATGTTGAATAAGACCGGGCCCAAGACAGAACCCTGTGGCACCCCACTAGTCACTCTTCTCCAGGATGAAGAGGAACCATTGATGAGCACCCTTTGGGTTCGGTCAGTCAGCCAGTTACAAATCCACTGAGTGGTAGCATAGTCAAGACCGCATTTTACCAGCTTCTTTACAAGAATATCATGGGGCACCTTGTCAAATCCCTTGCTGAAATCAAGGTAGGCTACATCCACTGCGTTCCCTTCATCTACCAGGCTTGTAATTTTGTCAAAAAACGAGATCAGGTTAGTCTGACATGACTTATATTTCAGAAATCCATGCTGACTACTGGTGATCACAGCATTCCTTTCTAGGTGCTCACAGACTGTTTGCTTAATGATCTGCTCCAGAATCTTCCCTGGTATTGATGTCAGACTGACTGGGCGGTAATTATTTGGGTCCTCTCTTTTCCCCTTTTTGAAAATAGGGACAACATTTGCCCTCCTCCAGTCTGCCGGGACTTCGCCTGTTCTCCAGGAATTCTCAAACATGACTGCCAGTGGTTCTGAGATCACATCTGCCAGTTCTTTTAATACTCTTGGATGCAGTTCATCTGGCCCTGGAGACTTGAATACATCTAAACTAGCCAAGTATTCTTGTACTATCTCCTTAGTTATTCTGGGCTGTGTTTCCTTTGCTGAATCATTTGCTCCAAATTCTTCAGGTCAGGCATTGTTTTCTTTATCGGAGAAGACTGAAGCAAAGAAGGCATTGAGGAGTTCAGCCCTTTCTGTGTCCCATGTTTGCATTTCACCATCTTCTCCTCTGAGTGACCCCACTGTTTCTTTGTTCTTCCTTTTGCTACGAACATACCCATAAAAGCCTTTTTTGTTGCTTTTAACCTCTCTAGCAAGCCTGAGTTCATTCTGTGCTTTAGCTTTTCTGACTTTGTGTCTACACGTGCTGGCTATTTGTTTGAATTCCTCTTTGGTGGTTTCCCCTTTTCCATTTTTTGTACACATCCTTTTTAATCTTAACTCAGTTAAAAGTTCTTTAGATAGCCACCCTGGCTTCTTTAGGCACCTTCCATGTTTCCGTCTCATTGGTATTGCCTGAAGTTGTGCTTTTACTATCTCCCTCTTAACAAACTCCCAGCCATCATGAACTCCCTTTCCTTTTAGTATTACTGTCCATGGGATCTCACCCAGCACTTCCCTAAGTTTTATGAAGTCGGCTTTCTTAAAGTCAAGAAATTGAGTCCTAGTATGCTTGGCTGCTCCTTTTCGCTGTATAGTAAACTTCAGAAGAGCATGATCACTCGCGCCTAATGATCCTTCCACTTCTACCCCACTAACCAGGTCATCAACACTGGTTCGGACCAGATCTAAAATGGCTGTTCCTCTTGTTGCTTCTCCCACTTTCTGGGCAATGAAGTTGTCTGCAAGGCCAGTGAGGAATCTGTTTGACCTTATGCTCTTGGCTGAGTTTGACATCCAACAAATATCCTCACAGTGCCCAACCAGGTGCCCATAGGAAACCCACCGGCAGGACTCCAGCACAAGAGTGATCCCTGCTCCTGTGGTTCCCAGCAACAGTTTGCCTGTCAGAGACAACAGAGGGAGCTGAACCCCTAGCAGGGAATCGGATAACATTTGGGCTATTGGACAGAAGCTTGTAATGAGAGTATTAAAGTACAGCCGTGATCATAGAGAAGATGGTCCCTTAAAGATGCCCTCACATTGCTTCAGAAGAGGAAGCCCCAAAATACCATTCATCTTGTGATAAGCTGCGGATTGTTTTCAAGAAGCCATTTCCTGTAGGGTCAGTAGTTAGGAGGCATATTGGGGAACAGCACATTTCAACTTGACATAAGGAAAATGTCACCACATTCCTTGCTTTGAACAAAGTGGCAATACTTGATCACAGAATTGTAGAGCTGGAAGGGACCCTGAGGGTCATCTAGTCTAACCCCTGCAATGCACAAATCTCAACTACAGCATCCAGGACAGATGGCCAGTCCACCTCCGCTTAAAAGCTCCAAGGAAGGAAAGTCTACAACCTGCCAAGGGCGACCGTTCCTGCCAAACAGCTCTTACTGTCAGAAAGTTTTCCTGAATGTTTAGTTGAAATCTCCTTTCTTGTAACTAGAAGCCACTGGTTTGAGTCCTACCCCCTAGAGCAGGAGAAAACAAGCTTGCTCTCTTTTCCATGTGACAACCCTTAAGATACATGAAGATGGCCATTAGATCTCCCCTCAGTCTCCTCTTTTCCAGGTTAGAAAACCCAGCTTCCTCAACCCTTCCTCATAAGTTTTTGTGTGCACACCCTCCTCCCCAGGTGCCAGGCCCAGATAAATAAGACACAGTACAGCATAGGTATGGGATTAAAATAGGCCACAACTTTATGAATTTCAGATGTAGCAAAAACCTTGGCTTAGGCATTGGGCATGTATCCCTCTCAGCCCCCAGTTGGGGTCTGAGGCAAAGCAGGGACAGACAGGAATTTAGGGGGACACTGCAAAATGTGCGTTTACGCAGCTTGTCCCCCTTTCTGTTCTGGGAGTTTGATCATACACCAAGCGCTGATGGTCAGTGACTCACCTCACAAACCCCTCTAAAGAGGCCCTGTTAACACCATTGCATGAGGGGTGTGTTACGCTACCCTCCCATTCTGTTGATGGACTAAAGGATTCTACCCAAAGCCTAAAACCGTGAAATTGCGGTCTCACCACCAAGATCCCTACAGCTGAAAAAAACTAACAAATGTCCGCAATCCAGCCTTCAAGCCTCACGTCCCACAACAACAGGTCGTTCCCTGTCGAGGTCAAATGCATGCCATCAGGAAGGAACAAATCTGGACTGTCAGCCTTAATGTCCATGTGTTTGATGGAGTGACCACCAATACACCAAATAGCATTGCGGATTGCCCTGTTAATTTTAGCATCGTGTAGTTGATGCATAAAGACTTTGCTGCCCCTCTCTATTGTAAAAAATAATAAAAAATAATTATTGAGGAGAATCGATGCCATTTGGGTATCAAAAGATCTATTATTAAAGATTAGGAAAGTGGAAATTCATTCAAAAACAATATCAGATAATAATCCAATTACGTTAAAATAAAAAAAGGAAGAAAAATAAGAAGACGGAGAATCAATGAAAATTTACTAAATGATGAGAAAATAGTGGGAAAGGCAAGGATGACCCTAAAAGAATATTTTGAGAACAATCTAAATCAGGGAACTGATATAAATATGGGATGGGATGCAAGCGAGGCAGTAATTCAAGGCTTCTTCATCCAACAAAATATAATCCAAAGAGAGAGATAACAGAAAATGGAGAAACTCTTGAAGGAGGTAAGAGAAAATGAAAATGAATTGGTTAAAAATCCAAAGAAGGAAATAGCAAAACAAAATATTAAGATATTACAGATGCAGC